AGTTTTGATGCAAAAACGCATGATCGCACCGGCTCGCCTGGTGCGTTCCAGCCTTTGTTTCAAAAAATTTTGCATTTTTCATTTTTTCACAAAGTGAGCATTTACCGAAAAAACGACCGCACCTCATGCAAAAAACCGGTAATCATGAACCTGAATGTCCGTGCGGCTCTATAACGCACCACCTTCATCCCAACTGGCGCTCTTCCTCCTGCATGCCGGAAAGGATTAAAGCACGCCAATGTGACCCAATAGTTAGACTACAGCTTAGGGATCATCCCTGTTAATAACGATCAGCGAGTTTAGTGCAAAAACGCATGATCGCACCGGAGAGCCTGGTGCGTTCCAGCCTGGGTTTACATATTAAAAACTAGCACAGAGCAAGTCCATAAATAATAAATTAAATTTTAAGTTCACCTTGATACGAGTTGAGTGAAGTTTTGATACTGTAATATCCTCACAACCATTTCATCCTCTTTTCCATCTCGAATTTAGGAAGTTAGAATGACATCAAAACATTCTCCATATTTACTATTTGTGGGAGGCAAAGTCAGTCGGGAAGCTGTCCGTGTTACAGGCCAGCAACAACCATACGTTGATAAGGCTGTCGATGGCATCTTCTTTTGACAGTTGCTTACAAGAAAAACCAATAACAACAGGGTTTATTACCCGGCATGCACCAATTTCTTGTCATCATCGAAATGAATCGCACAGAAACTTCTTGTTCCACTGACAAGGCTTTGTCCTCAACGTTTTTCATGAAGGCAACAAACACTATTTGTCTTTGCGTCATACCCAACAGCTCTACCATAAATTCGAGGAGGAAATTTTCAATAAAAGCTTTCTATAGGTAAAAAGAAAGCTGAGTAATGCTGGCCAGAAAAATGCTGCCTGGGAGAAGCTGTGTTTGCCTTTGCCACCATGACCTATAGGAATAAAAAACTTGTTTGCTTACTTCTAAAAAAACTTTCTTCGAACCACTTTTCACACCTTCCTCCCCTCTCTCCCCCTCGCCCAACAATTTTTTTGCATTATCAGCCTGGTGCTTATTGCAGGAATGATGAAACGTGTTTTACTGGGAAAGAAAATGCAACGGAGATGGCTGAACTCGTTGCAAAGCTAGCACGCAACAATTTGACGATTGAGACAAGCGTGGAGCAATACTGGGAGTAAGCATCCTTGGTTTTATCCCTTACTCTCCTCGGCCATATGGCGGAGCACTTTCTTCTCTTTTCACTCGAAGCGCAAAAAAATCGTCGGAAAAAAGTGAAAATCGCATTAAAAATGAGTCAGATTTAGCCCAAAAATGAATTATCTCGTAAGGAACATTAAATAGTTAAAGCAGTACCAAGTTCAAACTCTCAGTCTGACTTGTTTTGGTCACCGAAGAGTCATTTAGGCTGGGAGTAGCCGAATGTGATTGCATGTCTTCATGCCTTTTTCTAGATTTTACGAATTATGACACGCATCAAATTTCACTAAATATGGGATCCAGAAACAAATCACAATTTATCAACCCACTTTTCAGATGTGTAATATCACAGCAACGTTTACAAGTTACAGGTAACAGCGGTTGACAAGTGAACATGTAATTTTTATACAGCTGCTACTTTTTTAGGCGGCGAGTGCTAATGCAAACCGATTCGATATCGGATTTTGGCGGAATCCAGTGGGAGCTGCTTGGAATAATGACCCTCACCTGGATCGTCGTGTACTTCGCGCTTTGGAAAGGGATCACGCGCGCGCGTAAGGTAATCAAATGCACAGCGCAGCAATAATCACTTTTTCAAGTCTTTTTTTTAGCTGGAGATACTTGAGATGCTTTCGGATTCCGGAGAATCTACCCAAGTCTGTATTTTCTGTTTCAGCTCATAATCCAGTTTGTACATAGTATTGTTTAGCAGGATTTTTGCATCAGAATATTAATTTCAAACGTCTCATTTATAATTATTGACTGCCGCCTTGCGCGCACTTTTCTGACACATCGATTAGGGATCCATCAGTTGCAGTAGTAAACCATATGCAGGTCGATATTAGTGGGAGAAGCAGACTGGTAACTGAGTCGAAGCTACGCGGTGCTCATCCCGTTACTACTGTGCAATTCTTATAGCAAAGTGCTGATTGTTCTTGAGTTTGATGGCTATGAACTAATGGGATGAACTCCGGAAAATGACCAAACTTTATTGGCAGTTCCTTTGGATGTTTTTTTTTTTTTTTTCAAAATTGAATTAGCTGCAATAGTTTGTAGCATTCTGAGCAGCGAACGCACTCAAACGGCACGCACTTCACTCACACTCACGCTGTTGCACAACGCACACTGAATTCATTCGCCCGATGAATGAATGAATGAAGGAAGGTAATCTTTGAGACGCGTTGTTCTTGCAAAAATTTGTGTTCTTGCTGCTACAATATCCAGCCTTGTGAGAAACAAAAGTACCGATCAGCATTAGGTTGCTGAAGTTGTAGCAGAGCTCACTGTCCAGTCAGAGTAACGAGCGCTCATCCTTTGCCTCCAGCATACGTCGATTTTAAGCTTTTTGAGCAGTTGACACCCTACGGAATGTTTCGTTACCAGTCCATTTGTCGGACCTAGTCTGTCGACAGCTGGCAGTTTTCATTTATTTCCGCTGAAAAATTAGTAAATGGAGAATAGTATTTCCATTTTAAAGAAGCTGGACGACTAAACATCGCTCCATACTTTGCAATTGAACAAGGGCTACACAAAAGAATTAGTCTTTCTTTTTTTTTTGCCGCTGGTTTGGCAGTCCGAAAGATTAGGTTTTCACAAAGGACTTCGCTTGAAATCGAAGGGATGCGAGTATTGTTTCAGCAGTTCAGTGAGACATATTATGCAGCATAGATTCTTAAGTTAGACCATGCAGAAGTTCGAAATTGTTATTCTCTGTGCTTTCCTAGTAATATTTTTTTCATCCTTCGGCTTGAATCCTCAGCTGAAGTGACTTGAACTGCTGATGCTCAAATTTGGACACGAAAGTAACGAAAAATTTGGTGAAAGAAACATTTTTTTGACGCTGTAGTTGTAATCTTCAAGGCTGTCATAATCTTCAACTCACTGGCATGTG